AATAAAATTATAATTTATAATATATTAAAATATGACTAACATGCATATTGTATATAATATAATATTTAAATTATACTAGACTTACTTTTTAGATTTGGCGGAAAAGTGAATTGGGGGAAAAGGGCAAGGTAGGGTTTTGGCGGAAAAGGGAATCGAACAATTTATGATTTGGCGGAAAAGTGAATTGGGGGAAAAGGGAAAGGTACACTTTTGGCGGAAACGGGTAACTCCCACTGTCCCTATTAGTGGTCGCAAACACAATGTTTTTTATTACCTACCTAGATAGGTAATTGAATAGAAAAAAAATGTTTATTATAATTATTTATATTTGTAATTTTAAATAATTATTGTTTATTATGTTCATTGTATCCTTTAATTGTCCTTGTATATATGGTAGCTGTATTTTCTACTTTTAACTGTAGTAGTATAATTATTGTTGGATTATGTAATTTGTATACATCACTTCTTTTTAAATAATTTATACAAATATACGTAAATTATTTATTCAGTCTTAATTATTGTTGAATTAGAATTTTTATTTGACAAGTATTAATAGTTCTTTGGGGGAAAAAACACCAATTTACTATAATAATGTAAATAATTATAATAAAGATTATTACACCTACACAATTAAAAAAATGAAATAATTGGGAGAATATTKGAAACTACACTTTGATGTACAGCAGGCATTGAGTGTAGTAATTTACCCAGGGCCGGCCCATGGTATTTTGACGCCCCGGGCAGTTTTTTGAAAGGCGCCCTTAATCAAAGGCTCCATAAAACATTTAATACTTTTTATACTTACCTACATATTTTGTTAAAAATTAAACTTATGGATAGGTAAAGGATTGCACAACTTTTTGGATACAATTTATAGACTTATCGGCTGTAGCACATACTTTTTTCATTTTTGGTTTTCCCGAGTTAATGAATATAATATATTATCATTGTATATTATTTGTAATATAATAATAAAAACTGGAAAGTGGAGTAAAATCTATAAAAAAAAAATATATAACAGAATATTCTGTCATAGATAATTTAGCCATTTAGCTATATTATTGTCAATGTGAATAAAATATATTACGCTAAAATTTATAAAATATTCGTATATTATATGCACCCCTAAAAAAGTAGCTTCCCCGGCTACCACCCGGTTCGCCCGTATCTTGGACCGGCACTGAATTTATCCCATCATTGAGAAGGTAACTGTAATGAAAGTGTCAAAATAAATTTAAATTCAATAATACATAATTGCAAATGAAAAAAGCGTGTAAGTGGCTAATGATGCTCTGGCTATGCATAAGGTTAGGTCACATCTAAAGAGTCACTGTAATTGTTGTGTTAAATTTAAATTTAATTATGTAAAATCATTGTATTCGCAAAACGAGAAAGCGAAGACATAGACGTTCCGTCAGTATATTAGATGATATAATTGTAAAATTAAAATAATTAAGTTTACTGTTAGGTATTAATATAACACTAGGYTAAATTAAATTTTGTTAAAAGATTACATTCGAAAACGTTATAGTGTTTAAAATATTACTTAAAATTTACTCTAAAAATCTTGAGTACCTATATGAACAATATTTTTAAATTACAATAAAAAACCTAAAATCGTCATTATTGATTTTAGTATGTAATTTTGTCTAAATTTGAATTTAAAATTTCTATAAAAAAATAACTGTGTTTATATTGTGTTAAGATTTTAAATTTCCAATTCTTAACTATAACAATTGAATATTTTATAGTTTTTAAGCTAAAAAATAATTTGTATATTTTCAACATTTTGATAAATATTGTAAAAATTAGAACTTTAAATATTCATAAAAAAAATTCATGTGCGCGGATCTCTAATATTTTTCAACTTCTGTAAGTATAATTACTTATCAATAACCTTGTAGTGAATTTTTAGGCATTTTAACCCTCCCCCTCCAAAAAAAATAAAAAATATCTATAAATATATAATATTAATTTATTGACATTTATAGAGAAAAAACTAAACAATTAAAAAAAAAGTTTATAGTAAAATATCTCAAAATAAGTCAAAATACTATAAAAAATTTAAGTACCTACCTATTATTATAAGTTTTTGAATAAAAACAAAATAAGTAAATTATTCAAATTATTGTATGAGAACTTATTAATTTACGGTGAATATCCAAATGTCTAACTTTAAATGCTTGGAAAAAATCTATTTGACTTTCCGGTTAACTTTTTTTTGTTAAATTAAAATAAAAAAGTTTTCGTAACTTTTACGTGTTTTGTCAACATTTTAACTTCAGAGTTATAAAGAGTTATAAGACGCTCATAAAAAATATTATTTTGGATCTACACTTGACTTTTTATATATGGTTGTAAATCAAAAACTAATCACTGTAAATACTTGAAATTTTCACCAAATGTTTATGTTAGTGTTATCTATATACAGTTTAATTTTCAAAAATTTTTGACTTTTTTTGAGTTATTTATAGCCCACTGAAATTTACACTTTTTTTGAGAATTTTTTTTTGAAGTGTCGGTAAAAAAATGTTGGACGACCAAAAAAACTTGAAAATTTAATACAAGGTTCCTTATGAGTTTTTCTTATTGTAGCTAAAAAAAATTAAAAATCGTAAGTCACAATTTTTTTTAATAAGCTTTTATAGTTCAAAATTTTACGAAATCTGTCGAAAACGCGAAAATTTGCAAGTAATTTTGAAGTTGAAAAATCATAAATTTGTTTGTGTTTTTAACTAAGGATTATAAATACAGCACTAAGTTTTTCATAAGTTTTCCTTCAAGTTGCTATAGGGAAAACTTGAAGCATCATTATAGGAAAAATTTTAAGTGCGTTTGAATTTTAAATTTTTACGAAATAGCGTAACGATAACGATTTATCCTCAAACGATTTTAAACATTTGTTATTATTCAAAAAGTATAAGTCGTAGATTATACTTGAAAATTTTACCAGTTATTTAGATTGGCATTTTATTTACATGATTTAATTTTCAAAATATTCTGACTTTTTTGAGGTATTTATAGACAACTGAAATTTTCAATTTTTCTAAAAATTTTTTTTGAAGTGTCGATAAAATTTTACAAAGTTCCTGATAAGTTATTCTTTTAGTGATTAAAAAATCGTAAGAATACATAAGCACAATTTTTTTATTAGCATTTGAAGWTCAAATATTGACCTAATACGTAAAAATTACGGCAATGTTCAAATTATCTTGGATAGAAATTCATAAAAGTTTTTCTTTTTAGATCTAAGATTTGAAAATTTTTAATAATCTATAATATATCCTAGACAGATAAAACGTCTCCGCTCAGAATCGTTTTTCGTATACAATGATATAATATCATTGGATTCAAATTTAATTCCATCCATTACACTATTACAGTAGGTAACCCACTTGTAACATACTGTACAGCAGAGAGACATCCACGACTTACCAGCTTTTTTTAATTGATAGATATTTTGTTTTTTTGTCCTAGATCTTAAAGGTTTTAAATAAATGTCTGTTATTTCAATAACAGGAAAAACCAATCAACTACTACTATTATTTCAACCACTTTAATTTATTCCAATAACCTACTTAAGTATTAGACACTGACCTAGTTTTATTGATCTTTGTAAGGATACTTGCATATATTTGTATAATAAAAGATACAAATTATATATTATTACAGTGGAGGGAGGAAGAACGTAAAACAGTGATTTTTAAGATTCTGATACGGTTGATATTAGGTTATTATAACCAACTAGTCGATCACTTATATGCACATGATATCATGAAAGATATTTTTATAATGTACACATTATTAATTTTATTTTTATATTTAACTGTTAGTCAAGCATATCAGTCAACATATGAACAGTACCAGCAACAAGAAATTCCATTCAGGGAGTACAGTTTTATAGGTAATAGACCTATATTAGATGAATATGATTTTATTGTCATCGGAGCAGGTCCAGGAGGCTGTGTGGTTGCAAACCGTTTATCTGAACAGCTAAACTGGTCAGTACTTTTATTAGAAGCAGGACAAGATGAGACTATATACACCGATATACCAGCGGCAGTACCATTTTTAGAAGCAACAAACTACAATTGGGGTTATACCGCTGAACCAGTAAAAAACGGTTGTCTGGGTTTTAAAAATAATCGTTGTCCATGGCCAAAAGGAAAAGGCATGGGAGGATCGTCAATTATAAATGCCATGATTTACACAAGAGGAAAAAAAGAAGATTATGATACAATTGCAGCACTAGGAAATGMCGGTTGGGCTTACAATGACGTGTTGCCATATTTCTTAAAATCTGAGAACAATTCAATACCAGAATATCAAAGTTCGCCTTTCCATTCACATAAAGGAAATTTACATGTTGAACGAGTCAGATATCATTCACCATTCACTGACAAATTCATAGGAGCTGGTGGAGAATTAGGATTAAAAAAAAATATTGATTATACAATTAATCCGGAATATGGAGTATCTCGTGTACAAGCCACAACATTAAATGGACACAGAGTGAGTACAATCAATTAATTAATAAGAATACAAATTTCAAATCTTATTAGAAAGTTGGTCACATAAAATTTATTTCAAACTTTTAAGTTATAAGTCAACATTTATTTAAGAAAGAACCGACCTATACGTATAAATACATTTAAAGTACTGAGCATAGTTATATATTTCATAAATTTTCTGTAATCCATTCTATTTCATTTTATTTTGAAATCAATTGTACATCATTACTTGATAGCTTGGTAAATTACTTTAATAAAAATAAAAATATAATTAAGTAACGTAATTTAATAATGAAATTGTACTTTGATTTTCAATTTTAATTTTTATGCGTTATTTATTTATTGTTTTTCGTAAATGAGCTTCAACAATAATAGGTATAACTTATATTTTAWGTCAATGTACAACTTTGTATTTGTTTGTATGTTTTTTTATCTGCTAAATAAATATTGTATTGTATAGGTAAGTGCATCTAAAGCCTTTATTCGTCCAGCCAAAAATCGTCAAAATCTTCATGTGGCAATATTGAGCCAAGTAACAAAAATACTTATTGATCCAAGAACTAAAAAAACAACTGGAGTAGAATTTATAAAAAAAGGAAAACTTAGAACAGTTTATATCAGAAAAGAGGTTATTTTATCTGCTGGACCAATTAAATCACCTCAATTATTAATGTTATCAGGCGTTGGACCGAAAAATCACTTAAAACATCATGGTATACAAGTAATCCAAGATTTACCAGTTGGGAAAAACTTACTCGATCACTACGGCACATTGGGTATGTTTAATTTTTGTAGAATATGTTTGAATAACTTTCAAATTTAACATCTATAATTTTCTACCAAGTATATTCGAACTTAAAGTATAAATTCCAATAGAACCGACTATTTAGATAATGATAATATGAAAACATAATTAAATTTGTCATGATTTTGTTACTTGAAATTCACTTCCAAATTATTTAATTTAATCTTTGTCTTACACTCATGAAATATATTTTATTCTTTCTGTAGTCTATAATTTTTTTATTGTTATTACACTATTGAAATTAAAATATCATTAGGTAGAAATAATTATTATAACATTGCATTACAATATCAATTTTTAAAATAGACAATATGGAAAACGAATCTAAGTTAATTATTATTTATTATTATCTTACTTCAGAAAAAGAACAACCATCACTGGTATGACTTAATATTCTGAAATATCAGCTTATATCACGTATCTGTGTATGTGTTTATGATTTTTATTCGTTATTCCGTCAATAAAAATTTAACAAATTTATATCATAATCTATTAGGGTAAAATTTCTAAGCAGCTAGTGCATGTTGCGTCTGGTCGATTCATTATCAAAGACACTATTATTCTGTATAAATACAAACCAATTTTGAAAGTAAAATTTATATTGAAAAAAATAAATTGTGACATTACACAGAAAATCGTACATTATCGTGTTGTTTAGTAGGTTGTTTTGATAATACATTATCTGATCAAAATCTAACGGAATTATGTTACCGAAATGATAAAATGTATGGAACCGTGATGCTTTGCCGAGGAAAAATGGGTCTATGTATTTGATATAAGCATTTTTTTGGTGTTGTTGACAAATCCATTTACATATTTACTATATTAAATCCAATAGACAACTTATTCTGGTCCTGGATAATTCAATTTTAAGTAAAGCTATTTTCTATGATGTTTCTTTTTTTAATATATTTCTTTTATTATTTGTATCTATATATACCAAATGTAGTAAAATGTGTTATACGTAATACAGTAATTTAAATATAATACATTCAAATTGCTTCTGTCTAGAGACTTTTTGAAAATTATGCGCTTTTTAAAAACAATGTAGATTTATTTTTAGTTATATGTTACGTATTATATAATATACCAATGTTTTTAAATATTCTATTTAGGTATAAAATTTGAAGTAAATCAAACTGGACCAGCACTGACGGAACAAACCATATCAGACCMACATCTATTTGAAGAATGGTTCAAATATGGCCGAGGACCTTTAACAGCACCAGCAGGAAGTGATGGCTTAGGTTATATAAGAGCACCATCCGGCAAAGGGATTGAATTAATCTTTATTCCCACATCAGATGAAACTAATATGTTTATGGTTGCTACATTGTTATTGCAACCAGACGGTCGTGGAAGCGTGAGTTTGAAAAGTAAAAATCCATTGGATCCACCCATTATGTCATATGATTACTACGAAAACAATAATACCGATTTAGAAGACAATGTATTTGCACTTAAATATGCAGTGAAGTTAGTAGAAGAAACACAGGCATTTAAAGATGTCTCAGCYAAACTAAGTCCAAAACCGTATCCAAATTGTAGCCATCTAGTATTTAGATCAGATGATTATTGGGTGTGTTTATCAAAACACTTGACATATACCTATCATCATCAGTGTAATACATGCAGGATGGGAKATGTTGTCAAYAACAAGTTACAAGTAATCGGAATTGAAGGGTTAAGAGTTGTGGACTCATCAATATTTCCACATATACCCCATGCACATCTTTATGCCCCGACTTTGATGGTTGGTGAAAAGGGAGCAGATATGATTCGAAGTTATTGGTCAAAGTAATTTATTACTCATATCATTTTTCAATTATTATATTTATTTATTTATATTCAAGTATTTTATTCAAAATTTATATATTTTTATCATTATGTATGTTGAAAATTACTAAAAAATAAACTTTCACTATAAAAGTTTTATCTCTTCTAAATTATGTATTTTAGTAGGTATTTTAGATGTTTACCTACTAAAATTTAATAGTTAATGTTATATAATAAATTCAAATTAATTTTTCTATGTGACCTAAAATTTAATTTTCAGTAATTCTTTTAAAGTTTAAATGTATAACATAGAATTTTTAGTATTTCTGCACATAACACATACACCTACTAACAGTTTAGATATAACCGTGCTAATAAGGATTCACTGTAACAGATGTGTTAAATTTAAATTCAATGATAAATATCATATAAAACTTTGTAATACCTACCCATTAGAATTAATATTGATACATTTAATCATGTACCTTCGCCTATTTAATAAGTATATAATCTGTTTAGCTAGACTTATAAGTAAAAATAAATAAAAGTAATAAAGTATAATATAGTCATATATAGGTAATATAAGAAACTAATAGGTAACTAGTTAGATATGGGCAACATGATTTTTGGGTATAAAGTTTTGTTTTAAAATTATATTTCTCAATAATAAGTATGATATACCTATTTATTTATTTCGATAAACGGGGTAGGTACATCAAAGCTCCTTTTTAAAGACGGTATTATAAAAATAGTGGAGACGGTTTGTCGCAGCTAAGAATCATTGTTCATTGTATACTATATTATTTTTAAATGAATTTAAATTTAACACATTCATTACAGTGGCTACCTCATCTATGGCATGGTATTCTTGACATGTTTACTATACAGCAGATCGAGAGCTCCAGTTATTTGTTATTTAATATTTTAATAAAAAGAAGAAAAACATGATGATTACATATAAATGTATATAAATATGTAAATAATAATTATTTAACATAAAAAAAACCTTTGTTTATAATGTTGATATGTGATGAATTATAATATATTAATATGTGTCTAAAGGTGAAAACCTTAACTGATACACCTTAAAACAGGGGTTGACTTTTTGATGTCAAGGGCCATAAATAAATTGTATAGGTAACATTTTTTTACACGCCACAATTTGAATACACATTTTTTTATTTTAAACAAAAATTTATAATCATATGAAATTTAGTTTCTTTAATCTAAAAACAACAAATTTTAATTCGCAGTTTCTAGTTCATACTATATATTATGTTAGTTCTTATTTTTAAATAAACTATAATTTTCACTCGTGGGTCACATAAAAGTAAAACGAGGGCCACACGCGTCCGTGGGTTACAGACCCCTTCCTTAAAGCATTATGTTAAATTAAAATCCATCCTACACCACTATAAAACCTTATCATTCTCACCACTTGGTGTCTTTAATCTCCGTAAATATTGGTGTCCCGTCAATAGATATAGAGGATAATTGATAGCGCGTCAATAGATAGTGGTCAATTTATAGCGCGTAAATTGATCGCGAGCGACTTTTGATAGTATGACAATTTGTAGCGTCGTATAGAATTCAATAATACAACAAATATTAACCGAAAAAACCAAATAAAACTGATAAAAAATATCATAATCGGAAACTTAATATTACTATCTAAAATAATATGGGCAATATAAATAATGAGACCACTTAATTCAATACCTACACTAGTACAGTATAATAGGTACCTATATAATACTATACACTATATCAGTTGTCAGTCGGTACAACACCATACAACAGTATACTACTTCTAAAAATTATGTATAGTAATTTTAAAATGTCTTTAAAATATATAAAAATTGAAAGAGGTTCAAATATATGGTGGTTTTATGTACCATTTCCAATAAATATATGGAACTGCTATTCTTTAGTGTCTGCTGATTTACCCTGAACAAATAACTCCGTAGAAGGGTGGCACAATTGTTTTTCTGCAATGTTAAACTCCTCATCGCACCCAACAATATGGAAGTTCATAAATGCGTTGCAAAAAGAGAAGCAAGTAATCAGAATGAAAATAGAGCAATATGTTGCTTATATAATTTTAATTATGACTTGCAATATTTATAACTATAGTATATTTTATTAAATAATTGTTTGGTTATTTAATTCTTCAGGGCTCTACAAATTGTCATATTATCAAAAGTCGCTCGCGATTAATTTATGCGCTATAAATTGACCGCTATCAATTATCYGCTATCTATTGACGTATATCCGTAAATATTACACTGTCTATTATCGAATTTGTACAATTTCAATTGTTATATAATTATGTTAATAATTGTTAATCAAATATTTCCCATCTTATGAATTTAGCTGTGGTAGTTATGAGTCATAGAAATTGACTTCCGACATGATGTAGGTAGGTAGGTACAAACCAAATAATGAATATAAAAAACCGATGGTCAAACGATGTACATTTATTATAATATTGTTTTGCTTGTTGTTAGAATTTACGACACTGTGCAAACTTGGTTCTTTAAGAAATAATTGTAATCTACTATATGACTCGATACCAATATTTAATTCTCTGCTCATAATAATATGTTATATTGAAGTAAAATTAAAAAATATTTTTTTAAAACATTGATAACATATCTGGTTGACATATTTTATTGTAATAGTCCTTGTCGACTGTCGTATATAAATTCCTAAGTTAACCCACAATTGTCAATTTGAAGATCGAAATGCTAATTTATTCAAGTAAGTGTACATACATATAGGTAGTACAAAAAACTTGTAAAATGCATAAAATTAATTTAAAACAGCTACCTACATTTCTTTGGAAAAAAAAACTAGTAGGATTAACGGTAAATTATAAAAACATAAACTATAAAGCACCTTTTTGTTATATATAATGTATAATTAGCTGTTAACCTACAAAAACAGTTTTGAAGAAAGCTCTTGCATCGAAATTTACATTGTTTTTTTATTAACAAATGAAGTGATAACCATATCATAGTATCATACTATCTAATAACTTGAAAAGTTTAACTTTTATACTGTTTAAAATGTTTATATTTAATGGGTAAGTTGTGTGTCGAAATGTTGATATTTCTCGATTATATTTAGTAGGAGAAACGTAAAAGTAGGTAAACATTTCCGTGATATTGAACAACAGCTAACAAGTATCTATTACCTATATATAGTGGAGAGTTTGGCCTACATCAAATAGTATTCGGTACAATTCGATGGCACTACAGATATTTTGTTGAATCTCGTTTAAAAAATACCAAGTACAAAAGTGCATGGACACTAATGTTTTCGTCATGACATTAAATCTTATAATATTCGTGTTTTTTATTTTATTTATATTTTCAATACACACACAGTCGACTTATGGACCATATGAACATCAAGGAATTCCCTTCAGGGAAAACAATTTCTTAGGCAATCGACCTATTTCACGTGAATACGATTTTGTTGTCATCGGTGCAGGCCCAGGAGGATGTGTGGTCGCAAATCGATTATCTGAAAATCCAAATTGGTCAGTACTAGTGCTGGAAGCAGGACAAGATTAATCCTTATTCACAGATATACCGTGTGCACAGCATAGGCGCACATAGGGTGTGAATTTAGGGGGTGCTGAAATAATTTATAGTACACADAYCCGTGGDGAGCGAAGCCCCCCACTACACCACCCTAATACTATAATAATTGCATTGCAATAATTATAAATTTTATTAAAAATAAAAATAAATATTTTGTAATTATATTAA